CATTTCCCCTGCCCTAGGTGGGAAGGGGTTGGTGGACCCTTATCTAAACTGTAGGAGACTTGAAGTTTTTTGATGAGTTTCTTAGCCAAGACCATAAATGTGTAGGAGGAATTCTCAATCTGGTATGGGAGAGAAGGAGAAAGAACCAGGGACCAGGTAGGTAGTGAAATACTCAGAAGATGCCGGTATTTGGTACTATAAAATAAGACTAGAGACTGCCCTGCCAACCTCAGGCTTCCATTATGTAACAAAGGAATACTGATTGTGTTTGCTCTTCCCCTGGAGAAGCTCAATGCAGGTTAGTTTTTTCAGTTACCATCCCCTTTTTACCTATTTGTTGTGTCAAGCAAACCTTTATGATCTATTTGTTGGTGGTGTTTTATCTGGCGTTTTAAAAATTCTGATTGTCGCTTCACATAAACATGTGTGATAGATAGCAGACAAGTGCATGTAGTTATATATAATTTCAAATGCACTGGGGAGGGGGTGGGGAATCATCCTTAGGGAGAAAATGCTAGAATCCTTGGTGTTGTAAGAATTCCCTTGGGGGGGGGGAGATTGAGCCAACATTGATTTTATTTTACTTTGACTAAAAATATATCTTATTTTTTTAAAGGCAGAGAATCTTTAAAAGGAGTCTAAAAAGAACTCATGTTCCTCCTAGACAGACCCTGTATATTCCTCCTGAGTACTTCCCTTCTCTCTAGTCTCAGGAAAGAGAGATGGCGAGAAAAAGGGAAGGAAGAGTGAGGAAAGGGAACTAGAGAAAAAAAAACCCTACCTTAAGCCAGCCAGAGAGACGGTAACTGAGAAGTCTGTGAAGTATTCAACTCTGCCCTTTCCTGGTTGGGAGCCTTTGAAGTAAGCAGAAGCATGTTGAAAAAGGGGTTTTTTGGTTCTTTTTTATTTTGCCAGTCAATAAGTATTAAGCACCTACTATGTGCTAAGCACTGGGGATACAAATAAAGATTAAAAAGTCTTTAAAGGAGCTCACAGTGTAATGGGGAAACCAGTACACAAACTATATACAACCAAAATGTATAGAGGAAGAATTTGAAATAATGGAGAGAAAGAACTAAAGTTATTTTTTGTTATAGGAGGTGGCTCTTTGGGAGAAGGAGGGAGACATTTGGAAAAGCTGGCATCAGAGCAGAGAGAACACTAGACTTGCTGTCAGGATGAATTGGAATCCTTCCCCAGACACTTCTTCTCCACACGATGTTGGACGAGTTACTTAACCTCTCTCAGGGATAAGAATAGGACCTACTTTATTGGGTTGTTATGAAGAACACATGAGATAACATATTTAAATCATTTTGTAAATCTTAAAGCACTGGATGTTAGGTATTATATAAAAACAAAAGTGGTCAACAGATTTGTTTTATTTTTTTTTTAAATTAGAAAACAAACTAAGGTTTTTACCACACACCTGGAAAATGGGTAGGGATGACACAAGATGGGAAGTCAATTTTGGAGGGACTGTAGGAAGACAACAAGTAAGCAAGCATCTACTAAGTGACCGACACAAATACAAAGAATGAAACAATCCCTACTTTCGATAATCTTGGTTGGTTGCTGTCCATTGTATTCAAAAAGGACCAAAATGATATCACTATGTTCGGCCAAGGTACAGTGTATCCAGCTAGGGCTGAACAGACTAATACAACCTCAGAAGGCTCTACCACAGGTCAGGCACAAATAGCCACGTGAACTTTCGGGATGGAGATGTCTCTAAATTTATGCATCTCACATTTCTTTTGAGCTATTGTAATTCTGCTTTACTATGATTTGCTATGCTTTGAGATGATCTTAATGTCTAATGGGAGAGACAAGTATATACAGACTAAACTATATAAAGAAACTAAATGCAAAGTAGTTCAGGAGGGAAAAAACTAGCACGTAAGGGGGTCAGGAAAGGCTGGCTTCACATAGAAGACAGGATGTCTGTGAGGCAGAGGTGAGGAAGCAGGACATTCTAGGCATAGGGGGAAAGGGAGGAGACAGTAAAATACACACACACACACACACACACACACACACACACACACACACACATATATTGGCAGCACTGTCACTTGGTCTAACCTTTCCAGAAAGAAACTTGTTATTAGGCTTAAAATGTGACAAAAACATCCTGTGAGGTTCCAGTAAGCCCACCTCACAGCAAGCAGGAACAGGAAAAATTGTAGGAACCCAGTCAAGAGCCAAGGTTCTTTGTCTTCCTTCTTTCTGAAGCTGGACTGGGAGCAATCCCCTAACAGTGATGCTAGAGATAGCCCTGGAGCATATAGAAGCCCCACACTTGTGGAGACTAGATCTGTAATTTCATTGGAATAGGGAACTCCAGGGTAATGAAACTCCCTCTATCAATTCAGGATCACAGATCCAGGATGAGTCGAAGTCAAAATCTGGACTCAGGTATTCTTGGTTCAAAGGCCAGCTCTATTCACTGTATCATGCTGCCTCCAAAATTCCCCCCATGTGTGTATTTATATATTATATACATGTGCTTCTGTATTTAACATATCACTTTTTAAAATGCAAAAGATACATATATGAAAATATTAATTTAAAAGGATGAGGTAGGGATGAAAGAAACATTTTAAAATGTATTTATTAGCAGTACAAAACTTTTTCACTCTTATTAAAAAAATACTAATATTTCAATGAAAGCTTCATTACTGAATGAAATTTATAAGAATACGAGACATTCTCCAATTGACAAATGGTCAAAGAATATGAACAGCAGTTTTCAGATGAGTAAATCAAAGCTATCTTTAGGCATATAAAGAAGTGTTCTAAATTACTTTTACTTAGAGAAATGTAAACTAAAACAACTCTGAGTTGCCACCTCACACCTATCAGATTGGCTAATATGACCAAAAAGGAAAATGATAAATGTTGGAAAGGATGTGGGAAAATTAGGACACTGATGCACTATTGGTGGAGTTGTGAACTGATTGAACCATTCTGGAAAGCAATTTGGAACTATGCCCAAAGGGCAACCAAACTGTGCATACTCTTTGATCCAGCAATGTCATTATTAAGTCTGTATCCCAAAGAAATCATAAAAAAGGGAAAAAGATTCACATGTGCAAAAAATATTTATAGCAACCCTTTTAGTGGTACAAAGGACTCTTGAAGGAAAATGCTATCTACATCCAGATAAAGAATTGATGGACTCTGAATGCAGATCTAAGCATATTTTTTCACTTACTTTATTCTTTTTTCATGTTTTCTTTTCCTTTTGTACTGTTTCTTCTTTTACAACTGTGGAAATATGTTTACAACATATGGAAATATGTTTTACGTGATAGCACATGTATAACCTATATCAAATTCTCTACCATTTTCAGAAGAGAGGAGGGGAGGAAGAAAGGGAGAAAAATCTGGAACTCAAAATCTTTAAAAATGAATGCTAAAAATGTTCTTGGCATGTAACTGGGGAAAAAATAAAATACTATTTTTTAAAATTATGCTTCTTTTTTTTTTGAATCTTGGCTTAACATTTTTGTGATACAACAATTTGAAAGTCTAACTCTAAGTCCAGTTTATTTTGGTATTTGGTTTTAATGATTATCATATTTTTGCAAGGATATGTAGATCCAAATGGAAGGAGTAAATCACTGGCTACATTACTAAATCAATATACTTACTTTTCAATCTCATCCACCAATATGCAGAGCTTTTTGTTGAAATTTGTCTAGTAAGTTTCTATCTTCCCTGACATATGTATTTTTACAAAATAAATGGAAGGTCTTGCATTTTTATATTTCAATTATATATGTGTATATGTGTGTGTATGTGTATATAATATATATTTATAATTTTATATTTATTTTAATCAATGTCAAATTTGAAAAAATTTTTAACCAGGTCAGAAAATTCTGTTTCTAATTTTTCAATATGCAGACAAGATAGTTTTAACAAATGACAGAATTTTCATCAACAAACTTTAGGAGCTTACTGTCTGCTGATTTCCTATTTCTTTATCATTGGTCTTTCGGGGGCCATTTTGAATTATTTTCTGGCGTTTGTGTTAGTTTAGCTTCTCTATAACTTTTTAAAATGTCTTCTTAACCTGAAGTCCTTAGGCTCTTTGAAAGCTCACCTATGCAAGTCAGAGCTTTAAGAGGAACTCCTAATGGACTGCCTGAGGTCCGTGGTGTCTAGGCTATGAGAGTATCTGGAAAGGAACCAAGGAGAATGACTCCATCCATAAAGGTAGCATAGGAGATGAGTTGGATCTCAATCCTGGTGCACTGATGAACACTCAAAGGGATTATAAACTAATTTATCTCAAATATATCAGCCAATCCCTCTAGTTAGTAAATAAGAACTTTTAAGTGAAAGGAAGATCATTCCAAGGGAGATCCTGGGCTACCCTATGGAAGAAACTAGATAATCCTGCACTGATCCCCTTACTTCTGACCACCAACAAATTTAAAGGTTAATGTTTTCTACCTGTAACTTAAAAAAAAACCTGCTATAGCTCTTGCACACATTTATTCCAGCAGATATCCATCAGGAAGGAAACTGCTCAGCAGTCAAAGGACCTTACTAGTCAAGAAGCCATGACGGTCACTCTGTGCAGCATGAATATGGAGACAGAGGTTAATTTAAATCAGAGAATGAAGAAATTTAGTCAGCTGGCTGGACAGGTTTTTCGGTTTTGCTTTTGTTTGGTTTTTTTTTTCCCAGCAGACTTTATGCTGTGTGTATGAAACAGTTCTGCTCCACATGGCCCCTGTGCCAGTTGTACTTTGATTTCAGAGAGATGATCATGCCCTAAGGCATAGCATTCTCAGTTGCCAGCCAGGCATTCTTACTCACGAGCTGAGCCAGCTGCTGCTGGAGGGCAGTCATCTGGGCTTTCTGGGCAGCCAGGCCTTGCTTCTGGGATAGTGTGATAGTTCAGTCTCCCTTTCTCTTCCTCAGAACTGCCTGGACAGAGGAACCAGCAGAGAGGGGGCAGAGGGAGTCAATCTCTGAGATCAGGGCTAAGAAGCCCAGCACGGTCCAGTCAGTGAATGGAAGCGATTTATCTTCAGGCCAGAGTTGGAGCAGGTAAGCAATCAACCCAGACAAATTAACCATTGGGTAGCTCCAAAGACAGGATTCTAACAACCATCAGCCATCAGAGTTTTCAAGGGAGAGCTAATAGCTGGAGAGCGTGCAGGAGAGCAGCAGCAGACACTCGGATTGATTCAATCCCCAGGCAACAGAAATGCCTGTTTATGCTGGGAAAGGTGAACAGTCTCTTAACGCCCATCATCTGCACTGTGGATTCTTTAATCCATCAATCAACAGACAGTCATTAAGTACCTACTACTACCAAGCAAGCTAACAAATACTCTGGCTAGATCTATCTGACAGTCATGAACTTATATGAAGCCTTTCTGAGCCTGTTTCTGCTTGGGAGCTTACATAACCTCTTCTGGGAAATGTCACCCATATTCATTACCTTCAGGGTACAGATACATTGCCTTTTTTTCCCCTCCTAAAACTACAGTGTAAAAATCGTATCAGGAAGTCTTTCCTTTGCTCTAACCCAAATTTCTCTTATTGCAATTTAAAATCACTTCCTTCAGTTCCATTCTCTGGGGAAATGGAGAACTGCTCATCAGTGCCTCCCTTATAATAATCTTTCAAATACTTAAAAACATATTAAGTTACTCATCAGCTTCCTTCTTTCAAAGATACATAACTTTTCCTCCTAGGGCCTATTTCCTTTCCCTTTAATCATTTCCACTGTTCTTTTCTGGCCTCCCTTCAATTTTTCCAAATCCCTTGTCAAATGTTGAGACCAAAAGGCCATTAGTCAGGCTTTCATTAGAGTTTTGTGTCCAGTTTGTATCTCCTTATTTTATAAAGGGTGCAGAAAAACCAGGATGTCTAGAGAAGAACTTTTTTAAGTTAAAGAGGAATGAAACATAGGTCCTATGAGGAAATTTTAGGTTCTATCAAGAAAGAACACTACCAGAAGGAACCTCAGAACTCACCTAGTCTAACCTCTCGTATTAGAGATAAAGAAACTGAGGCTCAGACATGCTAAGTGACTTACCTAAGGACAAACCACTAAGAACAGAGAGCTGGGATTTATTCTGATTTCGGTGATTTGGCTTCTATATCATGACTTGTAAAGTACAGAAGAGCTGGGAAAGAAGGCTGGAGGGCGACATAAACTGCGTTGTAGCACCAAAACAAATATTCACTTTAGTAAATACTCAGGCGTTCAGTGCAATGATCACCACAGCAAAACGGCCTCAAGCCAGTTGTGAGACTGAATTGATCATTACTTTAATCAAAACAGTCAGTGCATCCTTAACATTAATTCTAGATCTTAGCTGAGGTTTAAGTGAGAGAAGAGACACTTATCTGCAAACCTCTTCAACCCCAACCCCAGATAAAATAAAAAGGAATTATATACTAGATATTACAGGTGATTCACAAAATCAAAAGATTGATCTTATTCCTGCTTTCTCCCACCTTCACCCACTTCCATATATCAATCCATATTCCTGAAACATACTTCCTCACATGTCTGCCAGTTCAAGTCCTTTCTTCAAGGCTTAACTAAAGTGTCATGTCCTCCATGAAGCCTTCCTTAATCCCTCCAACTAAAAGTGATCCCTGGAATACAATGACCTTTCTGGTGCATTTAATCATATTCTAATTCTTAGTATAATTTTTGTGCATATGTCTCATTCAACTCCTCCTCTTCACCCCCCCCAACTGGATTATAAACTCCTTGGCAGCACAATCTGAGTCCTAAATTTCTTTGTACCCCCATCACATGGCATAGTACTTTGCACATACTAGCCACTTAATAAATATTTATTGAATTGAGGCCTGAATTCAAAAGGTTATTTTGTTGATTAGGCAATCCTTATTGTTACAAAGAACATAGATATTGGATGTCAGCTTGAATTTAAGGAAAAGAGCTTCAGGAGAGACAGAAAGGGAAAAATTCTTTTTTTTCTTTCTCTTTTTTTTTAATTAATTAATTTTTACATTTCAACAATACTTCCATAAGCTTTTGAGTTTTAAATTTTCTCCCCCTCCCTCTCCAACTTCTTCCCCAAGACAGTGTGCAATCTGATATAGGCTCTACATATGCATTGCTATTAAACATATTTTCACATTAGTCACTTTGTAAAGAAGAATTAGAACCAATAGGAGGAACCACAAGAAAAAGAAACAAAACAAAACAGAAGGAAAAAAAGAGCAAATAGTATGCTTTGATCTTCATTCAAATTCCATAGCTCTTTGCCTGGATGTGGATAGCATTTTCCATCATGAGACTTCTGGAGATGTCGTAGATCCTTGCATTGCTGAGAAGAGCTAAGTTTATTAACGTTAGTCATCACACAACGTGGCCGTTACTGTGTACAACGTTCTCTTGGTTCTGCTCACTTCATTCAGCATCAGTTCATACAAATCTATCCAGGTTTTTCTGAAATCCACCTGCTCATCACTTCTTATAGCACATTAGTATTCCTTTACATTCATATACCACAACTTGTTCAGCCATTCCCCAATGGATGGGCACCCTCTCAATTTCCAATTCTTTGCCACCACAGAAAGAGCTGCTAAAATATTTTTGTACATGTGGGTCCTTTTCCCATTTTTATGATCTGTTTGGAATACAGCCCTAGAAGTGCTATTGCTGGGTCAAAGGGGATGCACATTTTTATAGCCCTTTGGGCATGGTTCCAAATTGCTCTCCAAAATGGTTGTATCATTTCGCAACTCCACAACAATGCATGAGTGTTCCAATTTTCCCACATCTGATATTTATCATTTACTTGTTTTGTCATGTTGACCAATCTGATAGGTGTAATGTGGTACCTCAGATGTTTTGATTTGCATTTCTCTAATCAATAATGATTTAGAACATTTTTTCACATGATTATAGATAGCTTTAATTTTGTCATCTGAAAACTGCCTGTTCATATCCTTTGACCATTTATCAATTGGGGAATGACTTGTATTCTTATAAATCTGACTTAATTCTCTATATTTTAGAAATGAGGCCCTTATCAGAGGTCCTGGTTGTAAAAATTCTTTCCCAGTTTTCTGCTTAACAGAAAAAATTCTTAAAGAAAGACTGATGACCAGGAAATTGATTTCTCTCCATTGAAATCTGGAAGACATGGAAGGGAGGGGCTATTCAGTACAACCCTCCCTTTTTCCAGGTGAGGAAACTTGGGTCCATGAAAATTGGATGACTTGTCTAAGCTTACAAAGGTAGTACACATCAGGGGCAAGATTTGAATCCAAGACCTCTGACTCCAAAGCCATTGCTCTTTTCACTCTACCGTGTTGCTTCCTCTATATAAAACTATTCCTTTTTTCTAGGTAACCACCTAGTGAGGGATGAGTGGAGCCAAAAGTCTCTCTTGTCCCAAAACACTGTCTCCACTGATCTAATACTGGAAATCACCATCATATGTCATTTCTTTGGTTTAAGGCTCTATTAAATAAAATTCAGACACATACCTTGGGAAAAACATACATTGTCTTTTTTTTTTTGAGGGGAACAGGAGGAGAGACTCAGTCTACCTATCTCACCTAGGCTGGAAATTCAGGAGACACTGATGGTGCTGATGCCACTATTGATCAGGATGGGGGCCTTAATCTGTTTCGTTTCTAACCTGGGATGTTTCCAACCACTTACTAGGCAGCCTGGTGCTCCCAAGGGCTCATCATACTAGACTCAGACTTAGTACAGAACCTTATTGGCTTAACTCACTACAGCTCAGAACTCCAGGGCTCAAGCAATTCACCAGCAACGGCCTTCCTGGTAGCAAGGATGTGCCACCATCACCAGCCTGTCATCTTCAAAGCCTTACTCAAGTTCCTTCACATGAAACAGGGCCCTAAGGGTCACTGGACAGGTAAATTGTGACGGGATAAAAAGGTTGGAAAGGACAAGAGCACGGGGCACTCATTCCCTAACAAGGTGATACATGTCCTCTTGGTTAGCAGCATACATATCAAGCCTTCTCATTATCATACAAAATTGGTGGCTCTGATTAAGCTCTTTATTATTCCAGTTTGAACCTCATTCCCCTGCTAACATCCTTTCTCATCCACCCCTCTTGGGTTTCTGCCAGTGTTGTTCCAATGTCATCCTTCTGACCTTTAATGTTAGGCAGAGAAATGAATCTGTTTACCCAACACACTGTCTCTGCAACTGTTGGAACTGGTTGTAGAGTGAAGCTTTTTCATTCAGAAGGATCCCTGAATGCCGCTTAACAAACAATTCCCTTCCCACCACAGCCGAAATTCAGCTAAATCAGTGGTGGAATGCAGCCACTTACCAGGAATATTGTATCCAGGGGAAGCACTGAGTGGGAGAACATGAGAGGGAGAAAGAAAGCAGGAACTGGAGGGAAGCCAGCCTGCACCCATGGGCTGCCTCCCAGACCTGTTGTTACAAGATGCAGCACACCTGCAGAAATGGCGGCTTCTGTGAATACTTCAATAGAACCGTGAACTTATTGTTGGGGATGCTTCCCCCCCATGAAGACTGCAGCCCATCCCTGCCTCCACAGCCTGTTCATGACCTGCCATAATTTTCTGGGCTGGGGCGGTCCTCTACATCAGAGATTCTTAACCATTTTAATTTTTTTTTTTTTTTACGAAAGTTGACTGACCCTTTTAAATCTATCTAAGAATGTCTTGGGATGGGGGGGCATGTGGAATCTAAATTAAGGATCAATAACTAGATCTTTTGACAACACATGAGTAGCAATGGAGTTTGTGGGTTGTCTACAGGTTATCCCTCATTCTCACTACCTGTTTGGCCACTCATTTATTCTGGGCAAACATCTCTCTGATGACATCTTTTCTGCTACTTCTTATGTAATTCTTTATTTGTACCACGGTACAGTGATCGTGCACACCACATGCATCTCCTTTGCCCTTTCCCTGTTCCTCAATTATATTTCTTCAATGGCTGTGGTATTCCATAAACTTCAATCATGTAGAATCCAGAGAAGAATACTTTTGTTAAAAAAAAAAAGTGAGGCTTTGTTTCATGGCTTATAAAAAGGCTGCAA